ATTTTTTTTTTTTTTTTTTTTTTTTTTTTAATCTTTATGAGACAGGGTGTTGCTATGTAGTTTGGGCTGGCCTTGAACTCACTACATAGTCTAGGCTGGCCTCAAACTCAGAGTAATCCTCCTGCCTCAGCCTCCTGAGTACTAGGTTTTTTTGTTTTGTTTTTGTTTGTAATGGAATCTATGTTACCTAGGCTAGCTTTGAACTCCTGGGCTTCAGCCCCAGCTTCCCAAGTAACTTGGGCTGTGCACCATCACACCCAGCTCTTTTTTCTGAGTTGAATAAAAGTTGGGCCTTGCTGTTGCTGTAGGCACAGAGTGAGCTAGTGCTCCACGTACTAGGTGGCTTTCCCACCTTAGCCGTCACCTGCACACCAGTGTCGCAACATGGCTGTTTACACGTGTCCCTGAGCTGCTTGTGCTGGCAGGAGTGGAAGGCTCCTCCCTCCTCTTCCCTGCCCAGCAGGGACGTTCTCGCCAGTGAGCACTTATGGGGGACAGGAGAGCTGGTGCCAGCCTCCTGGCAGGTGGGGAACATTCACTCTGGCTCTGTCTGCAGTGCTAGAAGCTAGGGGACTCTGGGGTCCCTGATTCTGCCCTCAAGCAGGAGGGGCAGGGGCCTGTGTGGGAGGACAGGTGGGGTGGCTGATGCTGTCCAGTGTAAACTGGCCTTCTCTGTTTAGATTGTCACAGCCTTGGCCATCGCGGGAACCCTCAAGTTCAACCCAGAAACCGACCTCCTGACAGGCAAGGACGGGAAGAAGTTCAAGCTGGAGGCTCCAGATGCAGATGAGCTGCCCCGAGTGGTGAGCCGGACCTGGCCAGCACCCGCACCTCTGTGCCAGCCCCGCTTGCGGGCAGGGGTGCCATTGTCTGTGGGTGGCTGTGCTTCAGGAGCAGGTGCTGGGCTTGTGGGGACCGAGGGCTCTGACACCCAACCTTTCCCCATCCCCTACTGCAGGAGTTTGACCCAGGGCAGGACACCTACCAACACCCCCCCAAGGACAGCAGTGGGCAGCGGGTGGACGTGAGCCCCACCAGCCAGCGCCTGCAGCTCCTGGAGCCCTTTGACAAGTGGGATGGCAAAGACCTGGAGGACCTGCAGATCCTCATCAAGGTCAGCATGGCCTGCCTGGCACTCAGCTCCCCAGCGGGAGCAGGCTGGGTATCGAGGTGAAGGGCCAGGCCCAGCTGGATCCAGGACCAACAGCACAACAGGCAGGCGAGAGAGACAGAGGTACAGCCGGTTCCCACACCTCAGCTGTGACCAATCAGGCCCCAGGCAGGTGCTGGTTCCTCCTAGCCCACAGTCAGCATGAGTGGGTGTGAGGGCCTGTGTCTGAGTCCTCAAACCTTCCAGGCATTAATCCTGTTTGCCAGGAGTCACTGAGGACTTCCTGTGACACAACCTAGGTTAAGCCCAGGCAGCGTGAGACCTAGCTACCGGCAGGACCTAGCCGTAGCCCTGGCTCCCTTCTCTGCACACGAGGCCTGGCTGATCTTCCATGCTGGATGGCTCTTAGTTGAGGGGCCAGCTTGGAGATGTGCCTGTCCTCCCTGGCCAGCCTGTCCCCCTCTGAGGGGCCATCCTGTCCTGCCCTCAGCCTCTGCCTGAACCTTTGCACTTCAGGCCACGTTTCCTTTGTTACCGCCCCCTGCCTCCAGGTGGCAGCATGGGGCCACCTGCCCCTGAGGGCTGCTCCCTTCACCTGCCACTCCTGACTGGTGTCCTCTGCCCACACCCTCAGGTCAAAGGGAAGTGCACCACTGACCACATCTCAGCTGCGGGCCCCTGGCTCAAATTCCGTGGGCACCTGGACAACATTTCCAACAACCTGCTCATCGGTGCCATCAACATCGAAAATGGCAAGGCCAACTCTGTGCGCAATGCTGTCACCCAGGAGTTTGGCCCTGTCCCCGACACCGCCCGTTACTATAAGGTAGGGCAGGGCTGGGAAGATGGGAGAAGCAGGAACTAGGAGGGGGCCAGTGGGCAGTCTGGGTGAGGAGCCTCCTCCAGGACCTGAGGAGAAACAGGGAACCTCACAGGAGATGAGGAGGCCTCCCATGTCTCAGGAGGAGTAGGTAGGAGGTCCCCAAGGACAGACTCAGCCCAGGAGCAAGGGGCAGAGCCAGCCACCCCAAGGTGACACCATTTACCGCTAAGGGCCCTGCGTTGTCTCCCGCTGCTCTGCCCTACAGTGGTTGATGTCTGCTGGATTCATGCAGACGGCAGCCAGGGCTATGTCCAGCCTGCCTTTGCCTGCTTCGCCCAGCTTTGGCTGCTGGGGGCCGGGCAGGTAGATACTGGGCCAGTGAGCCCAGTGCCCCCTCAGCCTCATGACCGTGTCCCTGCTCGTCACAGAAACACGGCATCCGGTGGGTGGTGGTTGGAGACGAGAACTATGGTGAGGGCTCAAGCCGAGAGCACGCAGCCTTGGAGCCACGCCATCTTGGGGGCCGCGCCATCATAACTAAGAGCTTCGCCAGGATCCATGGTGAGCTGAGCCCACCCAGCTGTCACTGCCCCTCGCTCACAGCCCAGGGTCAGCTACCCTGCAGTGGCCAACCAAGGCCTAGAACCCTTGCCTGACTCCTGGGCTGGAGCTGGGGCAGAAGCGCTGTGCTCCGCAGGCTTCCTCTCCTACAGCGCCCTGACGTCACTGCTCCCACTTTGACACTCAGATCTGTGCTACTGAAACCCAGGTCCCATGGTCAGAATTCTGTTCCCCTTGTGGCCCTGTCTACCAGGAAGGCCTCAGACACCTGCATCACGATGCACACTTGTGCTTGTGCCCCTGGTGACACGGGCCCAGGAGTCACTGCCTGTCTCCAGCAAAGGCAGCACCCTGGGCAGAGGGAGGCAGGTGCAACCCTGCTGACCAAGTGGCCATCTGCCCTCCAGAAACCAACTTGAAGAAGCAGGGCCTGCTGCCCCTCACCTTTGCCGACCCCGCCGACTACAACAAGATCCACCCCGTGGACAAGCTGACCATTCAGGGCCTCAAGGACTTCACCCCGGGCAAGGTTTGGGACCCAGGAAGGAGGGTGGGCTGGCCAGGGCCACCTTGCATCCCTCCTGTTCTCCAGGACACTCCTAGATGGTGCCTCGGAGAGCTGGGGTGGAGCCAGCCCTCAGAATGGGGAGTCACTGCTGCCTCTCCCCACCCACCCCGCTTCCCCTGCAGCCCCTCACGTGCGTCATCAAGCACCCGAATGGCACGCAGGAGAACATCCTGCTGAACCACACCTTCAACGAGACCCAGATAGAGTGGTTCCGCGCGGGCAGCGCCCTGAACAGGATGAAGGAGCTGCAGAAGTGAGGACACAGCCTGCACCGCCGCCCTGCCACCTACGGTTCTGCTAGAAGAGCAGCGCTGGGCCGCCCTGTCCGTGGCACCACCAGACCAGCTTCCTGCCCTCTCCTGACCCACCAGCCAGCAACCCAAGGTCCAGCCCCTGCTCTCCTGCATTCATTTCGGTTCTGGTCTTGGGTGGCCCTGTGCAACTGTATTTATTTTTGACAAGGACACTCCCCTGTATAGTTTTTATTCTGCCTGAACGTGGCTGAAGGAGCTCATAGAACCTTTTGTTCTTGCAAAAAAAATAACATTGACTGCTCCTGTAAGAGTGGTTGGTGTCTGCTGTTTGTCACCTCTAGGGTTCAGGGAGGGTCACTGCAGCAACGGAAATCTGTCACCTCTGGTCCTGATCCACCTGCAGCCCCGTGCCATGTCCCCATCTCCTACCCCAGGCACTGATGTGCCATGTGGTTCCTGCCGTGCTCTGAGCCTGGACATGGGTGTCGTCATCCTCCACCTTGAGCCAGCAAATCCCAGAGCCTCGCCCTCCAGGGCTGTCTGACTCCATCCACATGGTGTGGGAAGGTGGTGCCTCTATGTTCTGGTCAGTTGGCATCCACTGGGGCTAGAAGTAGTGAGCTCAGCCAGCCCAAAGGCCAGCCTGAATCTCAAACCCCAGGTTTACACTTGATCTTAGCCAAAAGGCAGAGAAGCAACGCAACCCCGGTTTTACACTGGGGGTTGGTGATTATCTCCAAGTGACAGCGGCCATCTTATCTTGGCGATTCATTTAGTGACCTTAGGTCATATTGGCTGTTGGGACAAGGGAGTGTGGCCCTTCCTTGCTGATGTTGTCATTGTTTATTAAATGTCTCTGCTATCTGGCACATGCCTATAATCCCAGCTATTCAGGAGGCTGAGGCAGGAGAATCTCAGTTTGAGACCATCTTGAGCAGTTACTCCAAAAGGGCTGGGATATAGCTCAGTGGTAGAGCACATGCCTATTATGTGCAAGTGCCAGAGGGTTCAGTCCCTAGATCTGCAAAAATAAAGTCCATAAGGACAGCAGCACTTCAAGGGTTTCCTCTGGGAGAATCAGCACAGGACAGAGGGCAGGGTGGCTGGTGGTGCTCCTGGTCCCCACCCAGGCCAGCTCAGGGGGTTGCAGACTCCTCAGCATCTGCTCCACTGCTGGTTTCCGAGACTTGGGGCAGGCACCAGAGCCTGGGTCGGACTAACTGTTGGTCCACCAGGATAGGAGGCCCAGCCCAGGCTCGATGATAGAGCCCTGCCAGAGAGAACATGCATGTTTTACACTGCCGAGGCCGAGGCCAGCCCGATACATAGCGAGACTCTCAAAATAATAATAAAAATTAAGACTGGCAGTGTAGCTCAGTGCAAATGCCCTGGATTCGGTCTCTAGTATCACCCCAAAAAGCCCCACTGGGGTCTCCGCATGGGCTCTGCCCTCCTGCGGGGAAGAGACTTCCACCCGTCTCCAGTATCGATGGCCACTTGTCACTTAGTGGTTCCAGCCTGCAGAAACTGAGGCACTCGTGGCCTGCAGGGACCTGGGCCCAAGGGCGGTAAAGCGGGGGTTCCAGGAGAGCAAACTCGCGGAAGCGGCTCCCCCCACGTGCACGCACGCTGTCAAGGGCTCTCACCACGAGCGAGTATGGGGCCTCCTTCTTTGGCGGCTCCTCGCTGGCAGCAGCGACCTCGGCCGACCTGGGCCCGGTGGGCGACGTGTCCACGAAGCTCTCATCCACCACCCGGAAGCGGATCTCCTCGCCGGTGTCCATGTACAGGTCGTGCGCACCCTCTTCCGTCTCGTACTCCCACACCCACACCTGCTCCGCCTCATCGCTGGGGCCAGGGTCAAGGCCACAACCGGACCCTGAAGCACTGGCCAGGGTCCTCGAAGCACCCAGCCCAGGAGATGCCACCCCCAAATGCAGCCAGCTTGCACTCCAGCCTCCTGACAACCCGAGAGGTGGGCGGCTCAGACGCCGTTCCGGAGAGGGGTGGGCTGGAGGTCAACACCAAGCGGCTGGGCCTGACAGCAGATTCCAGAGCCCGGCAGACCCTGCTCCCTGCCCACTAGGCAGAGCAGGCCCTTCGCCCCCACCGGAGTCCACTGCCCTCTAGAGGCAGTCCCGCCACAGGGCCCTCCGGGACACTGGGTACAGTTGTGAAGTTTGACGTTTATGACAGCCCCATGAATGACCTCATGCAGCAAGGAGGGCTGGGATGAGGACAGTGGGGGCCCAGAGTAGGGGAGCCCAGCCCAGGTTCTCACCCCTGCAGAGGTAACCAGCAGGATGGCCCCTCCCTGGAGAAGAGATCTCAGGTGACTCCTCAGGGACAAACTCAGTGAGCCAGAAGTGACCCTAATGGTGTACAGTGCTCAACTCTGCCACCCAGGACCGGGGGTAAGGACACCAGGGTTAGCACGAGAAGCTGAGGCTCAAGGCAGTGCGGGCAGGCATGGTGGCCAGCAGTATCGGGTCACAGAAGCCGAGAGCCACTGCAGAAGTGGGGACCATCCCCTGTAGAGGCCTGAGTGACTCTGGACAGAACCCTTGGGAGGATACAACTTGGCAGGCTGCTGCAGTGACTCGGGGGGGATGAGGATGTCATCGAAGAACCCTAAGGAGACTGAAAGAAGGTGACGGCATGGCACGGGGAACTCGGGTCCTTATCCCATGCTGCTGTGTGACAGATGTCGCCATGGGAACATGGCCTTACAGCTTCAGAGCCTTGTGCTGTGCCTACACCACCCAACCAACCTGAGCAGCCCTGGGTAAAGCCCTGGGCACCAGGCCCCGAAAACCTCAGACACGCTAAGCACCCCCAGTCTCCTAAGCCAGCTCCAGTGGTCACCAGAGGACCTCACTGTGAAACTGGCACTGGCCGAGGGGCTCACTTGCTCCCTAAGCCAGGGTGCAGTCACTGCTCGGCCCTGGAGGATGAGCCCGGTCTCTGACCCCAGCCTGCTGGTCCCGACTACCCAAGGAGTGGGGGCCACTTACCGTGCACCCCTTCTGGGCTGCAGCCCTTGATCTTCCCGATCAGAATCTCATCCAGGAACGGGTGGAACACCACGTAGCGGAAGTGGACTGGAAGGAAGGGCACAGCCGTGATGAGCGGCTCGGAGCAGTTGGGACGCAACCACCCTCACTGTGACCTCACTGTGGGTCACTGATCCCCCATCCCTGCCAACATGGGCCAGCAGCTGCTGCCTAGAACTGAGGACTGGCTGTCAGGTCCCTGCGATAAGTCAAACCTTGCCCGGGGGCTGGGGTTCGGCTGCCTGGTACACACAAGGTCCTGAGTTTGATCCTTGGTACCTAAATAAATAAATAAAATTCTAAGCAGGGCAGAAGCAACTGGCAGAGAGAATCTGGTTTGGGAACAAGTTCTTGTTGCCTGCTGACTGGCGAAGTTTGCCCCAGGCACAGCTCTGACCTGGAACACAGCGCTAAAAATGCTAGAAATGGGATATGCACGCGTGTGTGGAGGGACCGAGTGGCAGTTGCCTCAGGGAAGCCACATGTGTCACTTGGTCACTCACTCCTGATGAAAGCCCCAGACAGTAACCAAGGAGCAGCCTCCAGCCCTGGATGTCACCATGAGGACGAGGTAGAGGCTCAGAGAGGCTGAGTGACCTGCTCACCTACCCGGGGAGACTCCAAGTCCTTCCCCAAACAAGGTGTCCAGGTAGGATAGGGTCACCCCTCACACACAGGCCTCCATCTGCCAGTGTCACCCCCAGGACCGCAGAGCCGCCCTTCCCAGTTTGCTGTCACCTACTTCCCAGTAGCTGCATCAGGCAAGAAGGTGAGGGGGAGAAGCAGTGGCTTCGAGAACAAGCCAGCGGGAAGACACCCAGCCTTGTGCTCTTAGAGAGCAGCGAGGGCAGCCAAGGGATGGAAGAGCCCATCCCCCACATGAGCCAGGGCTCAGCTAGGTCTCAGATCTGCAGCCTCAAAGAGGCTGGTGCCAGGCCTGGCGTGGGCACCGGGCTTAGGAGAGCACAGGGTTCGGTGTCGGGGAGCTCCCCCTCGCTCCCTCCCAATCCACATCCAAGATCAAATGCGGGATGAAGAGCTGAACGAAATGTGCCATTCGAGCACAATGGAATACCGGCCTCGGGAAAGGAGAGGGCAGGGTGTGGCTCAGCACAGAGCATCTGCGTGGTATGTGAGGCCCAGCACCACAAAGGAAAAAACAAGATTCTGACACTTTGTGCAACACGGATGAACCTTTGGACCTTGAGGCTATGATGTGCTGTAAGCCAGACACAAAAGGCCACATGTTGCAGGGTTCCGCTTTTATGAAACGTCTAGAACAGGCGACTGTACAGCGTCAGGAAGCAGGAGCTGGGGAAGAGGGTGACTGCTGCTGGGATGGATTCTTGTAGCGTGATGAAGGCACTGTGGCGTTAGACAGTGGTGATGGCGGGCAACTGAACAGAGACTAATACCCATGGGTGTGCTTGCAAAGTGAGTCCTATGGTCTGTGAATATAATATCTCAGTTCACAACAACAAAAGAAGAGCCGGGCCCGGTGGCGCACGCCTGTGATCCCAGCACTGGGAGGCTGAGGCAGCAGAATTGCATGAGTTCAAGTTCCACCTGGGCTACACAAAGAGCTTTTGTTTAAAAAAAAAAAGAAAAAAAAGACTCTACTAGGCCAGCCTTGAACTCATGGCCATCTTCCTGCCTCAGCCTTCTGAATGTTGAAAATATACTGTTAAATGCATTTTATAGTTGAGAAATCAGGGGCCCAGAGAGGTTACATATTCTATCCAGGACACACAGCTAGTAAGTGGCCGAGTTTGGATCTGAATGTGCATCTACCTAGCCTGTCTCACCCCAACCATTGGCAGCCCAAGAGCTGGGCTCTGAGGTAGATGGGACCCAAAAGGGTCCCACTGATGTGGCCAATCTCAGACCTGCAGAGACCTCAAGGGTCACCAAGCTGGGGCCCAGAGAGGGTGGGAGTCTGCCGGTCATCACCCAGCCAACTCCTGCAGTCAGGAGGGGATCCCCAGTTCCTGGCTCCTCAACAGGACCCCTACTGCCCTGGGAAGAACCCTGTGCCCCAGGAAGAGGGGGCACCCAGCCCACCTTTGGTGTGGGACGCGCCATCCCCTGGGAACACATAGGAGTCCTCCAGCCTGGTGATGTCGAACAGGCAAATGCAGAGTCCCACGTTGTACACGACCTGTGGGGATGTGACAAGCGCCATGGCCCAAGGCCCTGTGCCCTGCAGGCTCTGCAGAAACTCTGGACTCCAAGCCGCCACCACCCCCTTTTAAAATGTAATGAGCTGGGTGTGGTGATGCACACCTGAATCCCAGCACTCAGGAGGCTGAGGCAGGAGGATCACTGTGACTTTAAGGCCAGCCTGGGCTACATAGCAAAACCATCTAAAAAAAAAAAAAAGAAAGACCAGCTGACCAGCTGCATTGTTGTGAAATGAACACAAAGAATGGATGTAAAGCCTCTATCGCAATACTGGCTCCCAAGCTGAAACTGATCATCAATCAAGGATCCCTGTAATTACTAGTGAGGCTCAGAGGCAGGAATCTTGGGTCAAACCTTCGTTTTCCAATGTCTTGCAGTTCTTGCTCACTGGCTAGCATGACAGCCACAGCCAAACTCCACTATGCTCCTGTCACAGACACACACAGGGAACACAGGGAACACACAGGTGCTACCATGAGGCCAAGGTCCTGATGTCAGAACACCCCAGGCCTACACCACAGTGTCCCAAACAACTGGCACTGGCTGCTCATCTGCCCCCAACGTCACCACCCCCAGCCCCTGACCTTGAGGAAGCAGAGCTTCGGATAGGAAAGGAGATGGATGCGCACCTCAAGGGCTCTGATGCCTGGCCACCTGCCTCCTACTCACAAAGTAATCGGAAGCCATGCCAGGCATGGTGGCACACGCCTGTAATCCCAGCACTCGGGAAGCTGAGGCAGGAGGATCGCTGTGAGTTCGAGACCAGCCTGGGCTACACAGTGAGTTCCAGGTCAGTCTCAACTACACAGTGAGACCCTGTCTCGAAAAACAAACAAAAAGTAATCGAAGTCATTGCTGAAGACTCCATGATCCTTCCCCGGCCTCTGCCCCCGGTCTGCCCACGCCCCAGTCTGACCTATCCTCTCGGCAGGGACTCTTGCCTGTCTAAGCAGCCACTCTGTTTCCTGGCCCCTTCTCGGCCCACCACCTCCTGCTGCTCTCTGATGAAGACCCCGACTAGGAGCCCCATGGGGATGGGTCAGCCAGCTCCTACGGCCTCAAAGCCCATCCTCCTTGCTTTGCCTCTGCCTGGGCCACACCAGCCTTGTCTGTGCCCTGGTAGGGGGTATGGTCCCCTCCTTCCACAGGGCCCTTGCACCTGCCAACTCTGCCGCCTGCACTGCTCTCTCTGCACCCTCAACAGCCATCCCCCAAAGTAAACCCTCAATTAGCTCCACACCATCAGATCTCAGCTTGAGCACCACTTTCCCCTCCCCAACAAACTGTGTGTCCCTAATTCCAGGTGAAGTCCCTCTGGTGCACAGGTGGGTGATGCCTGTCCTCATGGCACTTCCCTGACTCCTACCTCTTCATCACATCTGCTTCTCACCAGCCACAGGCAGAGCAGTGATGCTTTCATTCATCCAATCAACAGGTAAGTATGGAGCGGCCATTCTGCTAGGCTCTGGCTAAGTGCAGAGAAACTCGAGGAAGAAAACAGACAAGGTGCCCGCCCTCGAGGAGAAGGGAAGGAAAAGCAGTAACCCGGTGTGTATACAGATAAACAAAATGCCAGGTGAGGTGCGCATGCGTAGAATCCCAGCACTCTAGAGGCTGAGGCAGGAGGATTGCCGTGAGTTCAAGGCCAGCCTGAACTACATAGCAAGATGGGAGATAGGGAAAGAGAGAAAGAGAGAGAGAATAAAAAAGAAAAGACAAAGAAGACAGTGTGGCGCGTGCTAAAGAGGAGAGATACGGGAGCTGGCCTTGAGGCACACAGGTGTACAGATACATGTTCCGTTTCGGGAATGAGCGATAAACTCTCCGACAGCAAGCCCCATATATAAGAAACTTAAGCCCAGATAGAATGACTTGCCAAAGATGGCAGAGTGGTTTGGAAGTGTGGAATCTAGCACTTCCTAATTATAGTTATCTGTGTATTCATTTTGTAGACTGAGGGATTGAACCTGGGCCTTCACAATGAACTACATCCTAGCCCTTTTTTATTTTGAGACACAGTCTAAGTCACTAAAGGCCCCAGACTGAACTTAAACTTGTGATCCTCCTGCCTCAGCTTCCCAGGGTGCTGGGATGACAGACAAGCAACATAACGCCCGGCTTCAATTTTCCCTTTTGATCCCCTCCAACACCCTCGAGAGGTTGGGAATACCCCCCACCTCATCCCGCTACTTGCCCAAGGCCAGGGCTGGCCACCCCCGGGGCCCTCGCGTGCCAACCTTGTACCTTGTTGGCCAATTTCTTGTTCAGCTCCTCGGCAATGGAGTCATTGAGCTTCCTGTCAAACTGCCACGGGGGGATTCGCACCGTGTCCACCATCTCCACCAGGACGAACATCCCGGCCTCCACGGGGAGCCTGGGGAACCGGAGAGCTGGTCACGCACCGGGGGGCCACCAATCCCCCTCTGTCCCCCGCACAATCGCTGAGATACCACCACCAGCCGCCAACACAGGCCGGGGGCGGGGAGAGGGCGCAGTCTCCAGGGCCCCATGCGAGCCGTGTTTCCGCCTCTGTGACGAAAGGAAACTGAGGCCCGGCGGGACAGCTCTTCACGTAGCTCCTGGGGTGCTCGACCAGGCCACTCGGCTCCCGCCCAAACCACACACCACCGACACGCACCGCGTACCTACAACCTGCGGCCTCCGGACTACCCGACTTGTGCGAGGTTCCGAATCCCATCGCTTCCGGAGAACTGGCCAATAGAAAATCTCTGCCCGCCCCCTGACCCAGGATGGGGCCGTTTATAGGCTCCTGTGCGGGACGGGGCGGAGCATGATGGAGCGGAACCTCCTTTAACCAGCGCGGAGCGGTCAAGCCTCAGAAGCTGTAGTGCTCTTTGGTTGCTACTAGGTGACCTTTAGTGCCACCCAAGCTAGGTCATGACTGAGTCGTGCATGTCCTCTTTGCTTGATTTGTCTAAGGCGTCCTTCGTACTGCAACAGAGTCATCCTTCAAAACAATATAACCGAGTGTGATGGAACCGACCTGTAATCCCAGCACTCTGGAGCCTGAAGCAGAAGGAGCTCAAGTTCAAGCCCAGCTGGGGCAATTAGCAATTTAGCAGGAACTCTTCACAAAATAAATTAAGAAGAAACGGAAGAGGGGCCCGGGATTTAGCTCAATGGCACCGCGCCTGCCTGGCAAGCTCAAGGTCCTGCATTTGGTCTCACGTACCAAAGAAAAAAAGAAAGAAAAGAAACGGAGGATGTGGCTAAATGCAATGCCCTGGGTACCACAATAACAAAGCAAAAAGTTAGGGTGTTGGAAAATTTTGTGGCATTTTTTAAACCTAAATAACAATCGAACCGGGCTGGGTGTGGTGGCACACGCCTGTAATCCCAGGACTCTCCAGGCTGAGGCAGGAGGATCGCTGTGAGATCGCTGGGCTACATAGTGAGTTCCAGGTCAGTCTCACCTACATAGTGAGACCCTGTCTCAAAAAAAACCGAAAAAACCAAACAATCAAACCAGGTGTAGAGGTAAATGTGGGACCTAAATTACAAGCCCTTGCTAAATGGCAAAGGGCCTAGGAGACAGTGTCCTGAACCCCTCCCATTGTAGCCACAGCCCCAACCTTTGTTCCAGCCCTGGTCTAAGAATGTGTATTACTCTTGTATTATTTGAAGTCCGGATCTGAATCTACCTGTAAATTAGAGACTCCAGACATAGAGCCCCAAGTTAATTGACAAACTGTTTGCTCATCCGGAGTGTCTTGGTGACCTTTGAGACATCCTATGGGTGGTACCTGTCACTCATCAATATGTGACTGTTGAGCATATGACTGCTGACCACCAGCTCAAGTCAGCAGACCTTTGTACCCTGTCTGTGAGCCCAAAAATGTTAATCCCCTCTTTTACTCCCTATAAGAGGACCTCAGCCCCTGAGCTAGGCGCCTCTCTGAGCCAGCCACTTGGTTCTGAGAGTGCCGTCTGGCCAGACTAATAAAGGTCTTTTACCATCTAGCCTGGTGTGTTCCTTCCTGGGTTTCTCGTTCCTCGATAGCACTCGTGGAGCCTCATTGGGCTTTAGGGCCCAACATTGCAAAGGCCTTTTGGGCTGTTTGCGCTCCGTGGAGTGGAAGTGAGGCTTTTAAATCTTACAGTAAACACCTATAATCCTAGCACTCTGGAGGCTGAGGCAGGAGGATTGCTGAGAGTTCAAGGCCAGCCCGGGCTACATAGTGAGACCCTGTCTCAAAAACAAAAACAAAAACAAAAAAAGAAACATGATTATTAGTTCTGAGTCCTGAATATCTTCCTCCCCGCGCCCCCGTACCATAGATCAAACTCACGACCTCGTGCTTGCCAGGCAGGCGTGGTGCCACTGAGCTACATCCCTGGCCCCTGAATCTTTTTTTGTTGTTTCATTGGTTTTAGGTTTTTTGAGACAGGGTTTTGCGTTGTAGTTCAGGTGGGCCTTGAACTCAGAGCAATCCTCTTGTCTCAGCCTCCTGAGTGCTGGGATTACAGGTGTGTACCACCGTGACTGGCTACTTATATTAATCTTTACCCTCACAGCAGTTGTATAAGGTAGCTGCCCTCACATGTCACCTCCCCCCCATAGGCCCACACCAGGCATATGCAATATCAAACCCAGCAGCAACACGTACAGTCTATCAGTCTGTCACTTGAGCATCTCCTTTTCCCTTACCTGAGAGGTCAAGGACGTTGTCCAAGGTCACGCAATTCATGTGACACAGAGCTGGGGCTGGGGCTCCAGAGCTCATGGTCCTAACCACCAGGCAGTAACAACACAGTGACAGAGGAGCTGCGGGGCAGAAGGTGGGAGGAGTGGGGCAGAGTTCAGGGGTCTGGGGAGGCGGAGGGATGGGTGGCCTGGGGGACCGAGGCCCCGAGGGACAGGAGCCAGAACGGAAGACTCAGCCTTTCACCCCGTGGGAACTTGGCCAGGATCCAGGCTGGGGCTGCGGGGCGCAGTGTTCCCCCATCTCCCTTTCTGGTTTTCGGCTCCCAGAGTTGCAACAATGCCTCTAGCTGTGTGGTTTCCTCGCTGGGAAGCCAGCGGCTTTATTAATTCCTCACATCGCTCCAAGGAGCACGGGAGGCGCTTTCCAAAAACACGCAGGAGACTTGGTCCACAGTATCCGTGACAGCAGAGGTCATCTCTGTGGGTCCCTGGCACCAGCCACGTTGGCAAATCTGGGCCATTTGAATGGACAGAGGGCAGCAAATGATTGCCGAGGGAGAAGTTGGGCTGGGAACCGGTGGGAGAGAGCAGGGCGAGAAGGCTCGGGCTCCCACACCACACACTGCTGTGCAGGACCCGGCAAACCTCCCAGTGCCTCTGGCCACCCTGTGGGAGGGGGATAAGGACAGAATGGACCTCAAAGGGCTCTATCAGTAGAGGACTGGCCTTGGAAAAGAACATGCAACAGTAAAATAGGAAGCATCAAAGAATAAGAATGCTTTTGGTAGGCCAGGCATGGTGGTGCACACCTGTAATCCCAGTACTCAGGAGGCTGAGGCAGGAGGATTGCTATGAGTTTAAGGTTAGACTGAGCTACATAGTGAGTTAAAGGCCAGCCTGAAGTACATAGTGAAACCCTGTCTCAAAAAACAAAAAAGAAACCAAACAAAAAGACTATTTTGTTCCTTGTACTTGGGATTCAGTTTTGGGTTTTTGTTTGTTTATTTGTTTTTTTTGTTTGTTTGTTTTGTTTTTGAGACAGGGTCTCACTGTGTAGTTGAGACTGACCTGGAACTCACTATATAGCCCAGGCTGGTCTCAAACTCATAGTGATCCTCCTGCCTCAGCCTCCTGAGTGCTGGGATTACAGGTGTGCGCCACCACGCCTGGTTTAATATTGTTTGTTTTTTTAAAACAGGGACTTCTTGTATAGCCCAGGCTGGCCTTGAATTTGTAGGAATTCTCCTGCTTCAGCCTCCCAAGTGCTGGGATTATAGGCATGCAGCATCACGCCCAGCCCCACCTCCCTGTGATCCTCCTGCCTCAGCCTCCTGAGTGCTGGGATTACAGGTGTGCGCCACCACGCCTGGTTTAATATTGTTTGTTTTTTTAAAACAGGGACTTCTTGTATAGCCCAGGCTGGCCTTGAATTTGTAGGAATTCTCCTGCTTCAGCCTCCCAAGTGCTGGGATTATAGGCATGCAGCATCACGCCCAGCCCCACCTCCCTGTTTAATAGTTTTCCTGAGCATTTATTGCCTTCCAACAGACATACTATAATTACAGTATTAAGTCATTTTATTCCCCCCGCTTTTTTTGGTACCAGGGGATTGAACTCAGGCCCTTGTGCTTTCAAGCAGGTGGCGGAACCACTGAGCCAAATCCCCAGCCCTCTCTCCCGATTCTTGACTGTCGGCACCACAAAGATAGGAATTTTGTCTGTTTTGTTTACTATTCATTCTCTAGTGCCTACAAAAGTGCCAGGTGACTGGCACAATGCCACACACCTGTAATCCCAGCTACTCAGGAGGCTGAGGTGGGAGGATCACAAGTTCAAGACCTACCTGGGTAACTTCATAAGCAGTCTCAAAATATAATTTAGGAACTGGGCATGATGGTGCATACCTGTAATCTCAGCACTTGGAAGGCTGAGACAGGAAGATCTCTGTGAGTTCGAGACCAGCCTGGGATACCTGATGAGTTCAAGGCTAGCCTGAACTACATAGAGAGACCTTGTCTTAAAAAGAAAGAAAAGAAAAGGTTAGCACTGAGCTAGACCTGGTCCTGTGGACTCACTGTGGCAGACAAATTTGACCCTGAGCTTTCTAGCAGCCAAAGACAGAGAACATTTCCCTGACAATGGGCAAGATCACAGGTGTCAGGGTAGCAGATCCTCCTGATCAGGTCCCAGGAGGCTGTGCAGGCAGCAGGGATGGAGGAGGGGCCGATGCTCCAGGAAGCCTGTCTGTGTGCCTGAAGCCCTGCTCATGTGGGCTCTGTGTTGTTTTTTTGTTTTGTTTTGTTTTTGGTACCAGGGATCAACTCAGGCCCTGGCGGCTTGTGAGGCAGGCGCCAGAACCACTGAACTAAATCCCCAGCCCTGTTTTTTTTTCTTAATTTAAAATTTTTTTGTCTTGTTATTTTGAGTCAAAGTCTCACTATATTGCCAAGGCTGCTCTATATCCTCCTGCCTCAGCCTCCTGAGTGTTGGGACTAAAGATGTATGACACCACACCCCACTATCTTTCATAATTTGTGATTATAATTCATTGGCTGTGTATTCTGCATTATCTGCCTTTCCCTAGACAGGATGTGAGTTTCATAAACTCAAGGAACGGATCTGCTTTGTCCACTGCTGAATCCCCACAGCCTGGGCCAGAGGTGGGGAACCTGCGGCCTGCGAGGCACAGTGGGGAGTTTGTATCTTTGAAAACTCTAAAAGGTTCACCATCGCCGGCCTAGGCCATCTTGGCTCCTCCCCCAGCGGAGGAGCTGAGGCCTCAGAGGGCAAAGATGTTTCTCAGAGACAGAGGCGGTGGGTGTGACACAGCAGAAAGAGTAGGACCGTAATGATGATGGGTGTAGCCATGTGCTCTTGAAATCTCAGCTACCCAGGAAGCTGAGGCAGGAGGGCTGCAACTTCCAAGCCAGACTGGACAACTTAGCACGACCCCCGCTCTCAAATAAAAAATAAAAAGGACTGGGGATGTAGTAGAGCAACCCTGGGTTTGATCCCCTGTGATAAAAACAGTGTAATAAAGCTGGAAGCCCTCCTTTTTTATTTTTTTTGGGGGGTGCTTTTTTGAGACAAGAGTCTTGCTGTGTAGTCCAGGCTGGTCTTGAACTCACTATGTAGCCCAAGCTAGGCTGGTACTCACAGTGATCCTCCTGCCTCGGACTCCCGAGTGCTCGGATTATAAATTTGTGCCACCACGCCTTAGAGCCTTTAGAGGCTTTAGAGCCTCTGGATTTTAAACCTAGCTCTGTCACCAGCTGTGTGATGTTGGCCAGGTTTCTTACCTTCTCTGTGGCTGAGCTTGCACCTCACTCTGAAAGTGGCTGTGATACCTCAAGGACTCTGTCTCTTCAAGGGTTGCATGGGTTCAAGGCCACACAGTCTTGGCCTGGCCCTGTTGGTGACAGCGACAGGAGGAGAATCACAGCACACAGGTGGAATCCACAGGACGGGGGCTGCTTGGCTTCTCTGCAGAGGAAGGCTTTGGAGGAGATAGCTCTGGAATTCTCAGCTTTTCACAAAAATAGCCTCTCGGAGCCCCTGGTTGCAAGCCGAGGATCTCTTTGTTACTCAGCAGCTGGTGGGCGGGTGGGTGGTGCCTCGGCTGCTCATTTCCTCAATGAACAGCTGCACCAGCTCAGCGCTGCGCATGGGGCTCAGATCACTCTCCTTGCACGCTGCCAGCTTCCTCATTGCTCACATGGGGACACCATGGCTACCACGGGTCTCAGAGACAGGAAACCCGGACACCAAGGGAGGGCTCGGATTTTCAGCCCTGGTCTTAGCCTGGCCCACAGCAGACTCCTCAGAGCTGGCCCTCACAGTGGCACACACCTGTAATCCCAGCACTTGGGAGGCTGAGGCAGGAGAATCGCCATGAGTATGAAGCCAGCCTGAGCTACATAGTGAGTTCAAGGCCAGCCTGAACTACATAGTGAGACCCTATCTTAAAAATTCCAAGAGTGAAAGAATCATCACTCACACACCCACTGGCCCTGCCACAGCCTCTTTCCTATTCTTCCCTCGTGTGACTTCTCCTGAGATCCTGACAAGCCTGGGTCCTTCCTGTCACTGGGAGCTCCCAGAAATCCTCCTGGCTACTCCCTGCTGCTGGCTTTTGGTTTGCAGCCACCAACAGCTCAAGGCCACAGAGAGGAGGAGAGCTGGGCTCAGCACCACCTGTCTAGGCCGGGTCCCAGCCCACCCAGGGTCCCATGGACTGGAGGGCAGAGATGATTTCCCAGGTGACAGCAGGGTGGCTGTGCTTGGGCAGGAAGCATCACAGGTCCCCACTGTGTCCCAGGGTTTCTCCTGAAGGGCAGGTTGGTGTGTTTGAAAAACGGATGCAGAGACCCAGAGTTAGGTCCCTAGTAGATGGCGTTATTGTTTCTGGCCAAAAGCCCCACAATTGCCTCAGAGCTGTTTCCTCATCAGGCAGGGGACTGGACCCATGGCCTTTGAACTGAACTGCATCCCAGCCCATTCCCCACCCCATTCTATTAGTGGGGCTCAAACTCAGGTCCTTGAGCTTGCAAGGCAGGCACGGGGCCCCTGAGCTAAATTCCTGGCCCTCTTTTTTCTTGTTGTTTTTGAGACAAGGCCTCACTATGTAGTTCAAGCTGGCCTCAGACACCCAATGATCCTCCTGCCTCAGCCTCCCATGTGCTGGAACTACAGGTGTGAGCCACCATGACCAGAAACCTTCCACATGTTTGAGACAGGGTGTTGCTAAACACTGAGTTACCCAACTTGCCATCTTCCTGTCTCAGCCTCCCAGAGTGCAGAGATCACACATGTGCACCACTATGCCCATGGGTATACACTTGGAAAACTGTTATTTTTGCAAGGGAGGAAGACAAAGAAGGAAGCTGAGAATTTACAGGAGGGAAAGGAAGCCCTCCAACCAGGAGTGGAATAAAATCAGAACTCTCATGGAACCCCAGGCAGCATTTATCTGCGAGTCTCCCTCATATAATTAGAAATTGGGGGATCTGAGTCCTGTCATTCTGGGAGGTTCTGGAAGGTTCTGGAAGAAGGTGGGCTCTGTGGAGGTGTGGAATGGCCCTGGCCCAAAACACCCTCTAGCCAGTGGATGACACATGATGCTGGAGAATCCCTCTTCCTCACCCTCCTCGCTAGTCCTATAAGGATGCAAAAGTACAGGATTATGCAGTGTAAATGAAGGCACAGCTCTTTGCCTGGCAGAGGGACCCTCAACACATCACACTCACGTATTCTTTTAGATATTTATTTATTGTTTCGTTTTTGAGACAGGGTATCACTAAATTGCCTAGGCTGCACTCAAACTTGCATCCCTCCTGCCTCAGCCTCCTGAGTAGCTGGGATTACAGGCTTGCACCACCGCACCTGGCTTCTTTAATAAGACTTCTTTTGAAAATGCTGGCCTGCCTCAGTAGTCCTAAGTGACACCCAGGGAAGACTTCCTTCCAAGCTAAAGTTGAGGCAGAAGGAGGCATACAGGCCCCTGGGTGGAGTCCTCCAGCACCGCGCAGGCCCCGGCTTTACAGAGTCCTTGCACTGGAGCCTTTCAGGGGGGACCAGAGTGGTAAAGGAGGTGCCCAAGGTCACACAGCATAGGGCTGACTGTAGGCCAGGCTCGTCTGATGCGGACTCCCAGGGTCTCTGGGAGCAGGCTACTGGGCCTCCCCGGAGCCGGCCCCCAGTGTGTGTGTGTGCGCGCGCGTGTGCGCCCGCGTGTACACTTGCACATTCAGATACACCACCACACCTGCTCTCTAATGGCGCTGTGCCCAACTCCTCCCCCATCCTCAGCTCCCCTGACCTGGCAGGGCAAATTACACCCTGGCTTAGCAATAAAAGCCACTTTGGAAAACAAGAAGCTCTGGGGCTTTGAGGGACACAGCTGGGTCCCTCCCTCCCGCGGAGCCTGGCTCAGGAGGCCAGAGTCGGATGTCCCTTTAAAAGCAGGGAGTACACATTCCCACCGAGTCCCTCCCTCCGGCTCGTCCTGACGTCAGCGGGAGGGCGTGTGTGTGTGTGTGTGTGTGTGTGTGTGTGTG